AAATAATATTACATATTAACAAACATATCTGTTTTTTGTTACATAATCTCCAAAACTATCAGATTTAAAATAATTTTTGATATTTAATATAAAGTTTTGAAGAAGAAAAGCATAATAATAATGTTTGCCTTTTATCATTGTTAAATTTAATAGTTGAAAATCAAAATTCAGAGATTCAAAAGTTTCCAATTTTACTAGAATTGAAAAATAATTTCTATAAATGTTAACTTCATTTTATTACTATTATTATTACTTAATAAAATACTTTTATTCTTATAGCACAATAAGCTTTTATCAATTTTCAANAAAAGTGAAATATAGGGACACACACGTCCATTTTTATATATATATATATATATATATATATATATCATTTTGTTAAAAAAATAATTAGATTATACACCTTATATTCTTAATGTAGTACAATAAAACCTGTGTAGATTGGAATTGCATGATATCTAACAATTTTTTGTTTTGGTACTTTCTAGGTTTTACTATTTTTCTTTTTTTTTTATCTCTGCATTACACCCAATAATCGTCACATGTTCAATAAATGTAAAAAAATGTACTACTAGGCTTAATCCAAAGTGATTCCAACTGAAAATGGAAGTATTTGAATGCAAGAACTGAGAACTACTCAATTGAGAGAAGTTCTCATTGTTGCAAAGAACTTGTGCTAAGTATTCAAATTCTTTTTGGTGTTGTTCTTATGAGCTCATGTGACAGCAAACAAGACAAATCAAGAACCAAAAACTATCATCTTGCTGTTGTTAGAAATTCTAATCACTTACAATAATACAGAGACTTAGGCACATTTTAATGTTTTTCTATTAATGTTAAGTGATTGCTTAAGTGTCTAAGCAATTATTTGGGACTACTTGGACTGGAGCACAAATTTATGCAAAATTTTATTTATGCAGCACTTGCTGACACAGAACATCTGTGTAAAACAAGACTATAAGTATACTGTATCTCATTACAAATATTAGCAGGATCATCCTTACAATCTGAAGCATTATGCTTTTGAAGGGCTCCCTTTAAAAATACTAGAATCCAAACAGATAAACTTGCATATATAAAGATAATCAGAAAAAAATTATTATTTTAACCAATCTGTTTAAACACACATATTGTAATACTGCAAAATATAAAATACAAAACTGAACTAAACTGTGTTACAACAGCTAATTTGGAACCAGGATGGTTTTGGTGGACCATAACTTAATTAATGCATTAAGTGCTATTGCTGTGTTTTTGGCTATCAGAACAAATGTCTGCTACCTTTATTTAAGTTGTTTTTTATTTTATGGGGACCCTGATTAATAAAGCACAAAATACTTAATATTTTAAATTAGAAATAATGTAACTGTCATTGGTTGCCAGAGAATAAAGACAACACCTGTATTCAATAAAACAAAAGGATATATTTACTATGAATTGAACTCCCAACTTGGCTTATTAATTGCTGTGCAGTTTAATATTTTCATATCTCAAATAGGTAATAAAACTTCAAATTCTTGTACCAAAGCACCAAGCATCTTTGCATGAACCTGATATTTATCATTGTAATTTTTATTGAGTACAATTAATTTGGTTTTTTACTTTTTCTCAAAATTAACTTTATTGGTAGCCCCTACATCTACAGAGTTCAGGTTAGTACCTCATATGTCTTTGCATAAGTATGGCCTGAAAATTGACCAACAAAAATTTAGAAACGTGCTGACCAATATTTTTTTATTAAGAAATTTTGTTCATATCCATTTTATTAAAAAAAAAAAAAAAACCTACTAATAAATGTTTGATTCATTCTTAACATATACTACTAATGTTTTAAAAATTTAACATTTTCAAATAACAACAATTAAAAACAAACAAAGAAAAATAATATTGAAAATTAAAAATTCATATATATATAAGAATCGATTAATTTTATGGAANTGTGTGTGTGATTGTGTGTGTATGTGTATATATATATATATATATATATTATATAAATCAAATAATGATAATGGTAAATAAAAATATATATTTATTAGTATTGACATATTTTTAATATAAAAACTGAAACACGCAAAACTAATATTCAAACATTAATAAAAATCATATTAGGAAAAATAATATAAAATAAACTTGAAACTGTTGACAGAGTCACAAGTATTAAATAAATTAAGCATTTTTTGAGATTTTATAATCTCACTTTCAAATATATACTACATTCAACATTAATATTCTGACAATACAAACAGAACAACTATATAAGCTTAAAAATTTTTGAACTAAATCTTTTCTGCTTGGTTTGATTCAAAAGTTTATAAGCACATGCAGTTCTGTTTAAATCTCAGAATATTAACATTGAATGTAGTAGATCTGAAGATTAGATTGTAAAATCTCAAAAAGTGCTTATCTAATAAATAGTTGTGACTCCTTCAACAGTTTTAAGATTTTTTTCTTTTTGAAGTGTATACATGGAGTGTTTCTGTTTCATATTAATAAAATCAAATAAATAAATAAATATTTCTAATAATGATAAACTAACATGTATTAACTACAGAAATGCTTGAATAATAAAAAAATAAACCAAATCAAAGGTACAACTTAATCAACTTTATGAATTCTTAAATATTTGAGTTTGTTTGTTATTACAAGAAATAATACAGAATCATATAGTATGGAGTCATGGAATATAGTGTAGAATAAAAAATAAGATATTTAATATGAGAAAAAAGCATACTCAAATTCTAAATTTAATAATTATTTCATTGATAGAATCATTTATTGCATTATATAGTAGACTCTGTTTATTGTAATCATGAATATCAACATCAGTTGTTTAATGTTATCAAAATTAGCATATTCAAAAACTTGTAAGTTAAAATATACTCATAAAACTTCACTTGTTGTAATCAGAATTGAGATTAGTGTTTCTTTAGATGATAAACAGATATAAAAAAACCTTATTTTCAAACTAGCAAACAATTTTAATGTATAGACAAACATTTCTAGCTTATTAATAAACCACCATCAAGTCAATGTTTTTATATTTTCTATTGTTAAAATGTATTTGAGTTCTAACACAATTTTCTTTTTTAAATGCATTTTCAAACTTATTTTTAACAGTCTCAACATGTGGTTAATAACATGGAATCATGGTGTGATACAAAAAACATTAAAAAAAATGAATGTTTTTGAACCCCTTCTGGACTCTGCATCAGGTTCTTAACCATTCCTAGATGGATATTCAATTATGGGATGACATTTAAATAAGGTTCCAAGTGTGTTATTATCATTAATTCGGTGTGGTGAGTAGTTATTTAATATGGAATCATTATCAGTCTGAACCAGAGTGTCAATGTAACATGTTAATCATTATTTGCTTACATTACATAGTTTAAATTTCTGGAATTTCTTCAATTATACATTAGCTGTTATTAAAAACAGAGGTAAACAATAATGAATGAATTACATATTAATTATTAAATCTTTTCAAGTCCTATATTTTTAACTGTTTTAACATGTCAATTAATGTCAGAATGAATAGTCAGAATTTTGCTACTACTATACTTTTATTTACTTCTGTTGCTTAATACTAAAGGTATGAATAAGTTCCAAAGTTATTACAATAAACAGATTCTATTGTATATATTTTCTTATTGGGTTATTAATTATCTATTTGAATTTTTTTTTAGAAATATTTGAAAATATATTTTAAAAATTAATTTTTTATTAAGTAATAAATATTTATCAGATTTATGAGAATCTACTAGATTAATCAGAAAATAAACAAACTAAAAACAATTAGAGGATGGAAAATTGATCTATTAAATGCAAGATCTGATAAATAAGCACCCACTAAATCAAGGAAATAATACATTATTTTTATAAGTAAATCAAAGGAATATTTTTACATTCAATTTGGTTCAAATATGATTTTGCCTTAAAATAACAATTATTATTTGAACAAATTAAAAGATATTTAAAAACATTTGTTACTGAATAACATTTTATTATTTAAATTCATGTTTATTTGTATCAATTTTTAAAAAAATAATTTTTTTCCCCAAAGAGAGTTTAAATGACTAAAGATGTTTCATAAATTAAATCACCACATATTCAGTTATTTATTTTCATCTAAACTAGTCTATAACTTTTTTTCAGTTCAAATAAAAATATTCTATATCAACTTTTTGCTCGAGTAATTGTTAAATATTAATCTACTGATGAAATATCAATGTAATTTGATTAATTAACTAAAATCAGGGTTACTGAATCAGGGTTATAAAATATTAATAAATAAATGTTAACTGTTTTTATTTCTACTTCATATTAATGAACTGTAAATTTTTAAGAAATGTTAATAATGCTAAACTAGCTTTTAACTTAAAATTTATATCAATTTCAGAATTCAAAATAATAAATCTAAAATTAAAAATGATATATATTAAACTATTTTTAATATAAAAAATTATGTAAACAGTAAAAAAATAGAATAATGTGATGCAACAATTTTTGTTTTTTTTTGTAATTTTTATTCTAAATATTTCATTTATTTTCAAATTATTCACATAAAATATTATTATTTATTAGAAAATGAATATTTGTATATATTGTCAGAATACTTTTCAAACATCATTAAAAATTATCTATTATAAATGATATTAAATAAAATTTTTATTAAAACAATCTAAAAAAATACACATTTAAATTTAAATAAAACATTTACATTTATTAATGCAAAGCACACACATTATATTAAGATTTAAATTTTATTAAATTGTTAAAAATATTTAAAGCGTTCCAGCAGAAAATTAATTTAAATAAAAAGCTTGACAGAAAATACTTTAATAAAATTAATTTTCATTAAGAGAAATTTGAAATATTAATGCAATATTTATGTAAATAAAAGTGCTACTTATTTGAAATTATATTAAAAGACAGAAATTATAAAATGCATTTAACTAATGAATCTAAGAACACAGCAGTCAAGCCCAACAGTTACTTACTGTTACAGGAGAAATACGAGTAGTATGGGTAGCAGTGGCAGAGGCAGTAGCTAGGTTGTGATGAGTTTCTCCATCCATCATTTCATTCTGTACTTTATAACCCCCACTTTCCTCCATTATGTGGACCAGATGGGAGGAAACAGCAAAGACAAATGGCAAGCACGCAAGCACACACTCACACATTAAGCAACATTAAAAGTTAAAATGCTCATATATATAATTTTAAAGCATGCATTATTAAAAATCTTTATTATTAGTTTTAAATTTTAGTTGCTTCTATTAGTTTGTAATTTTTTCATATTTCACAAAAATACTGATGTTAATTATAATTAAAATCCATTAAGCAATAGACATTTCTTTCATACTTTACTCTCAACTTCTTGACAAATGCTTCTGAGNTTAAAAAAAATTTAATAATTAGTATTTTTTAAATTCTGATAATTTTATTAAGAAATTAAAGACTAAACTTGACATTACAAAGGCAGCAGAATATTAGGAGAAGTAGCAAAAGTAATGAAAGAATAATACTGATATTTAACTTATTTATTATATATTATATATAATATGATTGTGTTTAAGTGTAATATTACATATGCTTTAGTTATTTATATATATGAATTATAGTGTTTATCTCAGGGCTGCAGAGTCAGTAAAAAAAAAAAAAATACCTGACTCTGACTCCTGATAATTTTAGTAGGCTGACACAATCTCTGACAAAATTAAATATCAAGTCATTTTATGGGGGCAGAGAAGTTAAAGCTCCAACTCTGAACTCTGAAAGGAGCCCGGGGCATTTACTCAAGTACTTTTATAGTTAGTATTTTTAATATTTAACTTATATTAATATTTATTTGTATAAAAAAAATTAATTTTTAACAAATATTTAATAAGAAGAGAAAGGGGGGTGATAAAATTCTACATCTACATATCTTTATTCTACAGCATTTGCACTTCAATTTCACCCTTCCAGAAAAGTTAGTGCAACTAAAAAGTGTGCAATCTAGCTACTTCAGTCCCTTGTTCAGGAAAGAAAAATATATACTCTAATCAATTAGTCTGGCTTATTCATAAAAATAGAGTACTTATTTACAGGGATAATAAAGGAATGATTCAAAAATATTCAAAATCAATTGGGTCAAAATAATTTAACTACTAAACACAAATGCTACAAAGAAAACTACATATTTAATAAATTAAATTGCTGCATTTTTTAAATTTAAAATAAATTTTCTTTCATTTAAATAAAAAAACTAATTAAATTTAAAATGTCTGAGTCGGAGTCGACATATTTTGTCTGACTCCAACTTCTTTGGCCAGAAATTCTTCCCAACTCTGACTCCACAGCCCTGGTTTATCTGATATATTTTGTTAAATATCATACAAAATAACATTAAAATTTTTGTAATAAAATACTTTACTGTTTTACTATAGTACTGAGAGTAACACACTAATTAATCAAAGATCAAAAACATTAGAGTTTACAATAGAATATCCTGGAATTTCTTTTAAGGTTCAGTTGGTTGCTATTTTTGATAATATATTCCAGGCTTGCAGAGTTTGTACACTAAGATAACAATTTATATTAACATTTAAAAAATGTAATGCAATATTTCCCAATTTTAAGAAAGATTGTAACAGTCAATCAAGAATACAGTTCCTTTAGAAATTTTAATGAATAAGAAAGACTAATATCAATAAATAAATAATGTTATATGCCTTACAGTTAAGTACAGAATTATATTAAATTATTTTCAGTTTGAGATTTTTATCTAAAGAATAAACTTAAAATATTTCAATGTCTAAATTTAGTAATACAGTGGTACCTTGGTTAATGATGGCCTTAGATAATGATGTACTTGGTTAACGACAAGTGACTGTAAGAAAAAATATCTCAGATAATGACACTTGATTTGATTAATGTTTCCATTTATCTGTTGACACAGAGATATTTTTATCCTGCATGACAGCAAAGCTCTATACAATCTTGCACACAGCCATGCATGGGAGGACATTGTTGAACAGAAAACAGCCATGCAGCATAGCAGTAAAGCTCAGATATGTTTGACCCATCAGAACCAGCTGTTTATGTTTTCTGATAATTGTGTCTTTCCTTGTTGTGTACTGTGCTTTATTTTATGTGGTTATAAATGCAGTTTATGATGAAAATGAGTTTTTAAACACTTATTTTTTATGTGTTTATTCATATAGATCAAGAGTCAGCAACTTTTCAGCGATATTGTGCCAAACCTAAGTTATAGAGTTATTCCAGGTGCTGATATGATTCTACCAATTTTGTTATATATTATCAAAATTGGTCTTGCTATAATGGACTTAAAAATACATAATTTTGAAGTCAAGTTGTCAATTGAATTATGTTCTTACATGTGAAGCATATGCACAAAATGTAGATGGAGAGACAGAGCATAAACCATGCACTGTAATATAAATATATAAGCAAGAGATTCATTTTTAATCTATCACAACTTATACAAAACTATGGCTTCATTTAAATGTGTAATTAATAATTAAAATATAATTTTTACTGCATCTCTATTCAATCAGAGTGCCACTGAAAACCATCCTGAGTGCCATAGGTATGCAAACCCTAGACATGTTTTTCACAAGTCCATCTGATAAAAAGCTCTGAGGTGAGCCCAATTGTCCTTCTGGTGAAGATCGATAATTAAAAACTGCTTCATGACCTATTCATTTTATTGATGTTAATTTTTTTGTAGCAAATATAAATGAATAAATGATATGTACCACATTTTTATGACATTTTAAATAAGTTTTATCTGCATATTTGATATGTACTATGTTGTGGGGAGGAGCTGGAACAAATTATTCGATTTCCAATTATATCTTACAGGAAATTGTGCCTTGGATAATGACAATAATCCTGGAATGGATTACTATTGTTAACTAAGGTACCACTGTTTTTTATTTTAAATCACATATCTGAGACAGATAAATCTCTCATTTAAATCAATTACAATGTAGTCTGCAGATAAGGAATAGGCATGTAATTAAACAATCACTTTATTTAAGTAAATAAGCCATAAAAAAACAAAAAAAATTAATTATTTTTAAAAAATATTCAATAAGGAACAAAAAAATTATCAAATGAAAATAATATATTTCAATTTGATGGTACTACTATCTGAATACATAGTTCTAATAATAAGTTGTACCTAATAAAAATTTAGAAATGTGGAATGAATACGTATCTAGGCTGACAAGGCATTCAACATTTTGCTGGACTGTTTGTCATTTTGTTTTATTTAGATCTTTTGTCCAGCACATCTAGCATTTATGCAATTATTGTAAATCTACAAGACTTCACAATATCCATCTAACACCACCTCAATGATTCATCATTCTGGAATTTTGTGACAACGGACAGTTAAAGAATGAAATGCAAGTGAAACTGAGGTTAATAATAGATAGGTAAAAATATTTACACATTTCAAAAGTCAGAATATTCTATTTGCAAATATTTCTCATATAGTAAATTATTTTTGACTTTATATGGATCAAATGCACCAACAAAGAGGATATTTTCAATAATAAATAACTTTTGGACAGATGAAAAAAATTAGTTAAATATGCATATTCTAAAATTCCAATGCCAAGTACAATTTTTCACCAAATCAGGTAAATAAATATTGACTTATTAAATTTGGTTTCCTATTACAATTATTTTTGTATTAAATATGTATAGATGTTGATTGGTTTGTCCAATATTGAAATAGTAAAAAAAAAAATCTAGTCAGCCTATGAATATCTGAGAGATACCTACAATAGTGGTAACTGATAAATAATCAGTCACATTTCATGAATAATTTTTTCAATAGTATATCCTGTAAAAGTATAATATGAAATTTTGGACTATATTTGATAATATAAAACTATGGCATAAGATATATGGAAAATAAAAATCTATATTGAAACAAATTCTAATAAAAGAAAAAAATGAATAAAGAGAAAAGGCTGAAATAATCTTTTTTTTTTCCAGAGATAATGAAAAATGGGCATAATAATTATATATGATCATTTTTTACATTTTTCCTTTAAGATAATAAATTTCATGATAGATTACTCTAACACCTTGTTGAACTAAACTTGTCTGTAAATTTTAATTATGCAAAAAAAAAGTACTTTTTTCTAATATTTCAAAAATAATGCTATAGATATATTTTTTATTTTAAAAATGAAAAGTTTGTATACAGTAGAACCCAAATTAATTGAGGTTCCATATTATCCAAGGCAAATCTGTAGATGAATACACTATTTTTTCTTATTGGGCTGCAAAAACTTGTAGACCTATAAATTTCCACTGTTGTCTATCTTTTCTTAATATTGAGAATGGAGTTAGATAAATGAAAGACAAGACTAGACATGAAAAGCTTATAGGCAAGAGGCCTTGATTAATTATGTATGAACTTCTAGTGCAAACTGAAAGTTCATACATAGTTAATTGTTATTTCAATTCAAAAATTTCCCCTGAAAGGAGTTAAACAGATGACTAGCATGACTCTGTTGCTAGCAAAAAAAGTAAGATGTACAGGGGCAAACTACTACTAATTTGATATGGAGAGCATATTCAAGGTGAACCAAAAATAGGTGGACACTAGGTGGAATAGGGTTTGTGTTAGGATAAGATTATAACAATGGTGTATATTTAACTTGGTTATAGTTATGGTTGAAAAATTATATCATATGCATTTCAAGAAATTAATATACAAAGATATGTTTGTTGAAGCATGAAGTGGTGAAATGTAGACTTCAAAGTTGTGTAAATTGTGATGGAAAGCAGTTCAAGCACCTGTACTGATAAAATTGTATTGTATTGTATTAGTAAATATAATTGTATATGTAATCTCAAAATTTATATTTATATGTAATCTCAATAAATGGTATCATTTATCATTTATTGTCCATCTACTTTTGATTCACCCTGTATTTTAAATTAAATAAATTAAAAATTGCAGCCTGGTATTGTGAGAATGTCACAACGATTGCTTGTCTTATAATTTATAAAAGCTTTCCTGTGAATGTACCATGTATGTAAATACTGTAGTACTTTTAACCTTGGCTGTATGAAGTGATTTTTTAAAATCCTTTCTGCCCTGTGGAAACTAAGAAGGCCTTTTCTCCACACCCATCGTGGGTTCAGCCAAATCCACAATAAGAGTGGTCAGATGATGAAAGAATCTTTCATATCTGTCAACAAAAATAATGCTGAGGTGACTGCAGAATATTGTGGAAAAGAAGAGAGGAACCACTATAAAACAAAAATTCTAAAGGACTTTAAAAAGTTCTTTAGAATTTATTTATTTATTATTATTTAGTATACAGTCACATGATTTATTTAGTATATAGTACATAATTTGCAAAAAAAATAATCAAAATGAATAGAAAAAATATAAATTATAATTATAATCAAATAATAAAGAGCGAGGATCACATAATGAGAAACTGTATTACGAAAAGTATGATATACAGATGACTTTTTGTCATCTTCAATACAATTGATAACAAATACTCTAATTGCATATTAATTAAATCCAAAATGTATTGAAAAAGAAAATGCCATTTTCTAATTTAACATCATAAGAAACTAGTTAGTATTTCTATAAAAAATTCAACATCCACTACAACAATAACAAAACCTCACTATAGCATTATCATCTTTATACTGAAAAGTCAGTTGTAGTGTCTTTTAATAAATGACTGATAAAGATTTGATAAACTGTAATTGTAAACTATACTGTAAACTATTAGGCCAATCCAATGGGATGCTAAAATTTTGTTTAATTCATCTAATTGCTGTTTAGAAAAGGCTAACCAAAAATTTATTTTACTAGTTCCTATAACTTAAAAGTTATTTAATTAATTCTGAATGGGAGTGCTGTAATGGAAGAAACAATGCAATGAAACAAAAAATTAAAAAATTAATTTTGATAAATTTTTCAGCCAGCTGAAAAATATTACAATGAAGCAGTTTGTCATAAGGTTTCACAAAGAAGAGTTCATCACACTTTCAAGATTATTTTATGATCAACGGAGGGATTTTTGGAAAAAATGTTGGAGAAAAAATAGTCTTATTTTTTCAAGTTTAATCCAAATTTAAATATATTACATTCCACTTTCAGCCTGTATAGCCTATTTCTGGCTGATATCTGAAATTGAAACTATCACTATTTCATGAACCATACCATATTTACTTATCAAAATTTTTAGGATTTTGATAAATTCACTTCCTGTCATTTTAAAAGTGTGTATTATGGGTAGTCTGTGTCACCCTTTATATATTTCTTATAAAGTTTATCAGCCAAGCAGCCCGAAAAATCATCTGGTTTGTGAATTTTATTTTGAATTAAATATTAATGATTTTGCAACATATGTATCAACAATACTTCAAATAATGCATGCATTAAAAAAATTAAAATTAATTGAATAAGATTTATTTTTTCTAGTATTTTAAAGCAACTAACATTATTTAAATTTGTAAAATGTCCTATATCTATATATAAATAAGAATCCAAACAATTATTCGATAATGTTTTTTGAACAGTCCAATTCTTTATTGGCTATAATTGATTATTAATGTAGTTTTATACAGAACATTTTTAAAGTGTTCCTTATAAAAAAAATATGAAACACAAGTTTAATTATCACTAATGATAAATAAGACAGTTTGAATAAATGTTTTTGTTGCTACTTATACCCATTTATAGTTTCTACAATTTGATTGGTTCTAGTTAAAAGCAATGTACAGAAACAAATAAATATCAACTATTTTTACTTTTCAAAATTAAAATAATTTTTTGTAATTGATTTATAAATGCAAAAATCATAATTTACTTTATTCTTTCAGTTATTCCATTTACATATTCTGCTGCCTTAAAAATAATATAATTTTCTAGTGGATTTTCTTTGGGAATATTGATATTATTATTGTACTTGTTTAGATAGCACTTACTGTTGCTGGAGATGCACGGGTTGTATGTATCAAAGAATGCCCCTCTCCATCTAAACTGCTGCCTTGTACTAGGTATGTTCCACCTCCCTGATGAGCAAGAATCTGACCTTGAATTCCAACACCCACAGAACCTTGGTTAACATTACTGCTCACCTGAGATAAATATCAGGATCACGCAAATGGAAGTAATGTTAGGGATATATATAGCTATATACATACATACATACATATTTCAGGATATGACACATTTTTAATTTTCAAGAGATGAAACTTTTATAGGATATTCTTTCAAAGCAAAATTGAATCTTATTCAACTGAGATAATATGATGTAACTTTAAAGAAGTAAGGTTTAAAAATAACATCACTTTTAGAAATCAATAGTGATGTTCAAAGATTATGAATTTTGAAATTAAATAAGCTTGTACAGAAATAAAATGATTCTTGTTTAGAAATCTTTTTATATAATTCGTTATTTAAATTACATATTTACATAGAGTGTCATTAAAAATGCAATATAAGATAATAAGAAAATGATAAAATTAAATTTTATTTAAGAAAGGATAACACAATAATAATAAATATATTGCTGTAGACATATTCAATAAATCTAACTTCTTACACCCATATTCAAAGAATATAAAATTATTTTAAAAAATTTCTTTTCCTTTTAAATTCAATTCCATTATCAAATCCACAATTATTAGTTCTTGTATTTATATTGACGATAGAATCAGCACTATTCAATGTTTTTGTACACTGTAAATTGCTTTACTAATAGTAAACAGGGGTCACACTGTATAGCGTCAAAATTTGCCACTTAGCAATGTTTTTATTAAAGTGGCAATAAAAATATAATACTGACAATAAAAACTCTAGCCCACTTATTTTGATGTTCAGTGTGAAGTTAAATTAAAAAGTATGCTTCAGGAAAAACAGCTGAAGTTTAATTTACAATGATTCAATTAGTAATAGTTTTTGAGAAACCAATGAAGCTATAGAAATAAGGATCTATTTATTATAAATATAAGAAAATGGAGTGTTAATAAATACTCAATATGTAACAAACTTAATTTACAAACTGAAACATTTCACAGCATTATGAAGCATACAGACTTCAAAAGATAAAAATGCACCCCTGTTAGATAAACTAAAACTTTGATATATTCTTGAGAAGCTAGAACACTAACAATAAGCAACTCTACACTATCCATACTATTACTCAGAAAAACTCCTCCCAGTTTGTTCCATTAAAAATTTTTTTGCTGGAAAGAGTACAGAATGTGGAGTAGCTTATTATAAAACTTTAATAGTTTCAAAACAATTCTCCTTCTTGAAAATATTGTGAAAATCTAAATTAGTTTCCTTGCATACTACAAATTATAAATCAATTGGCATAGCACAATCATAAATATTACAAAAATATTCTGAAATGTTTTAACTGACTAATTGTAATTGCTAAACAAAATATAAATTTGGCATTAATGATTTTATATATATATGTTACCGCTAAAGCTCGAAATCCGTTAATGTGTACATTACCTAGCTAATCTGCAGATTAACTAGGGTGATCCTTTAAAGCTGCAAAAATTGTTCAATTTCTCAAATTACCTAGGTAATTTGCAGAGTATCTAGGTAATCTGCACATTAACGGCTTCCGTATCGTTAAAGTTCAAAAGTTTGTTTCTTTCACTTCCTTTCCCCACTCCTTCTTTTTACGTAGATAAATTTAAATCCTAGAATGCAAGCAAGCACCGAATTGGTGAGTAAAATCAAGAAAAGATTCTTCGCAAACCNCTTGATTCTTTAGATATTGAAAATTAAATAAATAACATTATGTTAATTTAAGCGTACAGAAACGTTGCTGTTGTTCCAGCAAAAATCTTATTTTCACTTTACCGAGTGCCTAGTAGGTAATTTGCAGATTACCTAGATAATCTGAACATTACCTAGGTAATTTGAGAAATGGAATAATTTTCGCAGCTTTAACGGATCACCCTAGTTAATCTGCAGATTAGCTAGGTAATGCGCACATTAACGGATTTCGAGCTTTAGCGGTAACATATATATATATATATATAAAGCACAAAAAAAAGTAATTAGTAGTGTATATGTAAATACATGCATACATATAGTTTATCATTTCAGAATATTTGACCCAAGTTTTATAACTTTCTAGATTGTACTTACAAGTTAGTACAGTTATATTTATTAATTGTAGATTTTGAAAAGTTAAAAATCTGTAAAGGAAAGATTAAATTTTTTATCATCATCTAATTAAACCAATTAATAGTAATTTTATGAAAAAATTTTCAGGATATCGTCTGTTTTTTAAAATTTCTTTTCATTTTAATTCTTTGTCTTAAAATTCCTCAGTAAAATCATAAATAAACTTTATCTAGAATAATATCCTGTCCAAATTTATTTTAAAGATTTCTCATTTTCCTTCTCAGAAAGACAATTAACTTTCAAAATTCACGCCAATCAATACTGTGACCATTAGTAGTTAATAAATATGTAATTATTTTTTCCATATTTTTATTCATTAAGAATCAATGGAAATCAAATATACAAGCAATAAATAATTATCAGTCATTAATAATTAATTACATATTACCATTCATTTTTCTCTAAATGATTTTTAACACATGATTTATCATTAACAGTATTTTTCACAATATATTTAGAACTTTTAGAAAGAATTAAATTTAAAGAACTTTTAGAACAATATAAAAACATGCTTGTATTTTATGAACTGTAGTTATATTTTGGTATTCTTTCAGTAATAAAATATATATTGGCAAATATATCTTAATCTGAATATCATAAGCACCATAAAAAAACCATGTAGTGCTAAATGATTTGCTTTAACCAATTGATAAAGCTTTTCAGTTTTTCTTTCTCAGACTGCAACTTTCCAAAATCCATAATTAATATACATTTGCAATTATAACATTACAAACTTCAAATCAAAAATTGTATATAGTGAATTTTGAAGCATTATGTTTTATATACACATAAAATAAATTACACTTAATCACTGATATTGTTATCAATCATTTAATGTAATTAAATGTATGTTCCAAAACATATAAGTTAGAATACAGTCATAAAAATTTGCTTATTTTAATCAGAGTTTGATTATTGTTGTCGTTATCTTTGGGTAAATAAGCATTTTTAAGCTCTTTTTTCTTATCACCTCTATATGTGCTAATAGCATGTTCAATTTTATCAATCTTAATTAGTGCTTTGAATGTTAATTACTTTGCTCACAATACATTAGTTTAACTCTTTAAGCTCTGAAAACTTTCTCTTACTATGTAGCTAGAGACTAAATTGTTTTTACCCCTCAAGCTATAAGGGAAACTTGATAGCAAAACCAGTCAAACAACTTTTCCATTGGCCAATTTCATTTTAAACAGATAAAGCCAATTTTGGCTGATTTTGTGTTTAAAGAGTTAAACCAGTGGTTCTCAAAGTGCCCCCATGGGAAGTGAGTAAATCTAGGGGGCAAAAAGAAGCAAGTGGGTGTCAGGAAGCACTGGCGTATGGCCACCTAGATACCTACCAGGCCTAAACCTGACAAATCATGACATCACAGGAAGAGTTCATATTGTAAATGACTATTGTAAAAACTTGATATTTTGAGAATAAAAGTTCATGTTTCATCAAATTTATCATAAAACATAACTTAAATGACATTAATTTGATTTTTGGATCTTAATAAACCAGGAGTTAATCTTTTTTTAATTTGTGAGTTTTTATATTAACATTATCATAAATCATAACTCAAGACTTTATTTTTAAATTCCAAATAATAAACTTTTATTATGAGACAGATACATGAACTTTACAAATTATTCTTTAACAACTTTACGATTTAAAATTAAAAAGATCCTAATTTTTTATAAGCTAAGTGTGTTTAGTTTATATCATTTAATGTTTTTCATACTTTTATTTATAAATTCCCAGTATTATTAAAAGTAGAAAGTTTTCTTTTTTTCCCACATAATTTTTTTCATTTATTATAAATCATTTTCAACTTTACAATAATTATAATACAGTATTGCACAAAACAGTTATGCATTTAGCTAATGTGTTCTAACACTGACAATTAGTATCCAAGTCCAAACAAAATTCAAAATTTTCAATATATAAATGTTTTAATGCATTTCTTTGATTTTTAATATTCAAAAACTCTTCTTCAAATTCTGTTCTAGTTATGCAATTAATTTAAATTTCAAAAACCTTTTCATATATACAGGTATATTTGCTTAACCATTAGTTTTAATTAAAATACAATTTATTGCAATGTATAAAACTCAATGAAATTATGTTTTTAATAAAATACGATTCAAATTAAAATAGTATTTAACTTATATAAGTATTTGATAAATCTATATTGGGAGATAAAATTATATAATAGTTAGCAATAAAATGGAAATCAGCTATTATGTTTGATTTTTCTACTCACCTGTATATAAAAACATCAATATAATTATACATAAAAATAATATACAAAATATAAAATTATATATTAGTTATTAAATTATAATTATATGTAAAAATTATGTATTAATAAGAACCAGAGGAAAATTATAAAGTTAATTTATCTGTAATAAAATCAGTATGAGTATTGAATGAAGTGTTACAATAAATAATTCAAATAATAGCATTCTCCATTTATAAACATTCCCTTATCATTATTATAAAATAAAAATTAACATTTATGTTCCAAACTCTTTTTTAAATGTACAGTACAATCATTCACATTCTTACATGTAACAAACTCAAAAAATATTATATATGTCTACATTAAATCCTATATATAGTATATTTTAATTTTGTTTTAATGATTATTTTGTTTATTACCAAATACAATAAGTACACTTCTATTGTATCTTTCAAAAAATTAAAACTTATTTATGGTTTATCCTGTTTTTCTCAACTGGGCATTACTTGGGCAGTAATATTAATTGAAATACATATTTTTTTTAATTAAAACATTACAATATAAACTCTTTATGAAGAATGATAATAACTTTATATATTAATTTTGCAAAGACAAAATATAACTTTAATTCGCTCTCTTTTGGAAAGTGTTAAAATGATGGTTTAAAGCACCCATCCTTCTACATCACAAGACCTGTTGTGATGTCAGGTTCTGGCCTGATAGGTATCTAGATGGTTGTGATTGGAGGCAGGATACTGAATGGTGACCACAGATGAAGGTTGGGGTCACTGACAACCTTTCCCTTTCCTCTGTTAAAATAAGTAAGAAGAAACATTGTGTTTAATGATTTCCAGATGTGGAGAACAATGTACAGTAAGGATACAAAGTGTGAGGTTCATAGAAAAGTTTTTTTTAAGAATATTTCTAAGCCTTTCTCACACAAGAGAAAATGGGTTCGGGGGCATTGGATATAAGTTTATGGAATCAACGGGGCAGTGAATTGAAAAAGTTTCAGAATCACTGGTTTATATTGTTGGCAACTCTTACTTCAATTATATTCCCTGACTTTTTGACAACTTTTAACAATTCCCTGACATTCCATGACTTTTTCTGAATACTAATGAAAATTCCTGATTTTCCCTGACTTTCTAGGTGTTTAGGAACACTGTACACAATATAGACACAATGAACTTAAAATGGATGGATGTGTCCATTCCGTTTCTATTTTAAAAATGTAAATTAATTCAGTTAGATAATCAAACTTGTTTTCTAAAGCTCTGTGAATACTCTATATGTTACAATTAATGATATATATATGTATAAATNATAAAACTATGGCATAAGATATATGGAAAATAAAAATCTATATTGAAACAAATTCTAATAAAAGAAAAAAATGAATAAAGAGAAAAGGCTGAAATAATCTTTTTTTTTTCCAGAGATAATGAAAAATGGGCATAATAATTATATATGATCATTTTTTACATTTTTCCTTTAAGATAATAAATTTCATGATAGATTACTCTAACACCTTGTTGAACTAAACTTGTCTGTAAATTTTAATTATGCAAAAAAAAAAAGTACTTTTTTCTAATATTTCAAAAATAATGCTATAGATATATTTTTTATTTTAAAAATGTAAATTAATTCAGTTAGATAATCAAACTTGTTTTCTAAAGCTCTGTGAATACTCTATATGTTACAATTAATGATATATATATGTATAAATTAAGGATAATTTATTAAACTATACTAAAAGATCCAAATTTCTTGTTTTAGAATCACTAATAAGAATATACAGTAAACTGTTTGATTAATCAACACAATCATAATATAAATAATGTTTTGATAATCAGTAAGTCTAATATTGTTTAACTCCAATTTTCAGAATTTTATTTACAAAAAATTTTAAGTTAAAAAATTGTATAAAAATACAGTTAAACTTAGAAGTTATATATGAAACATCAAATCATTAATGATGTTATCACTTGGAAATTGAGATAAATTTCCAAATGAAAACTTTGAATCATCAATTTTCTAGATAATGAACTTTTCTATTCTGAATTTGTATTTTTTATAATGTTATTCCTTATTCAAAATCTGTTAATATTAAAATTACTATCAAATACTTTTAAAAATGGAGCCTTTACCTTAATGAAGCAATTCAAAAATATTCCAAATTTGTTGATTAACAAATGACATTAGCTTAGTTGACATTGAAGAAGTGATTTGCCAATGTTAGAAATTTAAAAAAATATCAACAGTTATCTTTTATCATATTTCACAAGATGAAAATTTAAATTAATGTATAAGATCAATTTTCAAGAATTTTATCAGAAACAAAGTCAGAGTTGTGTATTTTATTTAGATATAAGTTATTGAAATACTTGTTATTTCTGAAATACAAGTTCTTTCCTCATTTATTTATTTCTGTGTTAATGCTATTGGATTTTGCAGATTTAAAAATACAAAGAACAATAAATTTCTAATTTATCAAATCTATAAAATTTAAAAATTGTAATTACTTTATTTTAGATCATTCAATGTTAATTTAATAAGCTATTGAATATATTCATAAAATACATATTGTTACAAATAATTCTCTCAAATATTAATCAAGGAGCCTTTTTTTAAAAAAAATAAAATAATCAATTCCATTATAAACATTTGACAGCATTATTTATAACAGTTTGTTCATGAAACTGTTATTCAAAAACAAGTTTTTAAAGTTGTAGTTCATAATATTACTAATATAGTTCACGTATTTTGATATAAACTTTTCTTCAAAACATATTGTAGTGAATGATTTCTTTACTTGTGCTAATAAAGCTATAAAAACTTTAAAAAATACAAGTTTACAATAAAAAAAACTTTTAGGATCTAAAAAATACTCAAAATGAAAATAAGCATACTACTTATAGTATAAAAATGCATTAATGTCAAGAATTGTGCTTTGTTTTCATTTTTAAAATTTCTAATTAATAAAAAATATAATAATAAATTGTAATTTACATTTAATAAAATCAAATTAGAACTGTTAAAAAAAATTAAGTGTATATTTATTCAAAAAATAACATTTTTTAATTTAAAAAATGAAATGGTAAATGCTCTAACATTCATTTGTAAGTAATTCATAAAGCTAAAATGAAGATTAGTCTTAATTTTTTAATTTTTAAAAATATTAGAATAAACTTTATGTTACCTGAGAGTAAGTAGATGGAGTTCCACTACCAGTGTTATAATAAGATGCAGTTGCAGGAGTATACATTGTAGATGAATCAGTGACATTATATACAGAATATGCTGTCCTAGAAACAATTATATTAGTGAATATTTTTTCAAATTAAAATTTATACAGAATAGAAAAAAATATTACATCAAGCTATATCTTGTATTTAAATAATATCTAGCAGAAGTAAGTGCATGTCTGTATAGGTAATCAGTAGTAGACTATTTAATAGTCATGCAGAGAAGTCTCACACAGTTTATCCCATCCATTTTTTATGGTGTCCAACTGCTTACCCTTTGAGTATTTTAACCAGACAAAAAACATTTTGTACAAATTTTTAGACACCATGATTTAAATCAGTGTTTCTCAACGAGGATGATATTGCCCCGTGTAGGCGTTTTTCATGTTGAGGGGGCGATTAGTACAATTTATATTTTGGGGGTGCAAAAAACAATTTTCTGAGCGATATAGTAAAACATTATATTAAGAATAATTAGATATTTTATTCGTTATATCATACAATAATTAAACAAATAACATTATACTAGTCACTGGTCTATTCAATGCAGTACGAATTTGGCGTTAGCCTTGGCCCTCGACATCAGAATTATGAAGTGAAGTGAAGTGAAGGGGGCGATACTAAGTTAAAGGGGGCGATGATTCATTAGAGGTTGAGAAACACTGATTTAAATGAACCACTATCTTTCATAGGATCTGCAATAAGATTTGGCCCCATGAGATGGGAGTCAGGGGTACATGACAACTATGCCATTGAATACAAGTGCACATATGTATAGGTAATTAGTATTGACTTATTCAATGAGATAGTTGCCATTGAATAGCCCACTACCAATTATCTATACACATGTGCAATTGTATTTAGCTAATATGTAGCAGAAACAAAATAAATGTGGTGCAACATTTTTGCTTACATCCTGTATGTTTTGTGAAAAGAAGATATCATCAAAAAGTTTAAAACATTAAGAATTAATCATGCTTCCTAAAAATATAAATCTATTTATTTTTATTTTATTCAATATTTAATTCTTCTATAATTCTTTGTAACTTTTACAGTTAATTTTTACTTAGTTGATTTATTTTAGTGAACTTTAATCTTATTATGAAATTTAAATTAAAATGATAATTCTAAACTGAATAGCTTCTTAGAAGGTTAGTTTAATTTTCACAGTTTAGATATAAATATTAATGATGCAAATTATGTTGTGGTTAAATATAAATAATCTTACAAGTTACTACTGTGTAGTGTGTGTTATATTTACTACGTGCATATGTAGTGTGTGTAGTATTATATTTTAACAGTTATTGTCATAGCATATCATAGTGTACTACATATTTAACAGTTGTTGTCATAATATTAGCAAGCAAAAACAAATTGCTGAAACTCAAAAATAATGGTTCTAAATATCGGTTTTAGATAATGTTACTACAAATTGTCATAATTTGGAAGGTCATATATCAAGAACTGACTGTATCTGTTAAATTGTGACTCCTTCTTCTGTAATATAGATAAAGCAAATAGCACATTCTACACACCAAAGAAAACAATACAGTAGAGCATTGTTTATCCGAATCAATTGAGGACTGGGGTGTTTGGATAACTTATTTTTCGGATAACCGATTATGTACAAAAAATATATTAACCTATCCCGTGTTGAAATTTTTCTCCGTTGCGTGTCGCTTTGCATTGAATTTTCGTCGATGTTAAGCCTAACGTAAACTTTTTAAAATAATAATTGTGGCTATTGTATCGTTAAAAATGATTTCTTTATGTTTTACAAACGAAATAAACACATTGAAAAATATAAAAACAAATAAAAATTATACTTTAGGCCGACTGGAATTCTTTCGAAAACTGACGTTTCAGATAACCGACTTTCGGATAAACAACGCTCTACTGTATCTATAAAAAGTAATCCATCTATATACTGCATAATACATAATATTTTAAAATTTTCATTATTTGAAAATAATTCAAATAATTTAAAATGCTAAAAGCAAAAATTTATATTTGAATTAATAAAACTAAATGAAAAATTCAGTTCAAAATACAGTGTAATCAAAAAAGGATATCCAGAATTTCATGATTAAATAATAACTTATTTAATTAAAAACAAAGCATTTTATTAAAAGTCATATCAAATATACAAAACATCTTCAAGTTTTTTCACATCTTAGTGTGTTTCAATGTGAACACCTATTGTTGCCCAACAAACATCTAAAATGATAGTCAATCTCTGTCCAGATGTACTCAATTATTTCAGATATGACAGTTCTGATCAGTGATAATGCTATCTCTCAAGTGTTGTAGATGACAAATCTTCTCAGCATACTGTTCTTAAAATGCAATATACATTTTCTTACAGATTTCAACTTGGTAAAAACAAAAAAATACCAAAAAAATTCCATCTCATCAATTTTTTTTGTTAGATTTGTCTCTTTTGCAAAATTTTTCTCTATCATTACCTATCCAAGCCTACGCAAACTTATTTGTAATAATAGAGACAAATTTTCCACTCTTGAGAAATCAGGGGTCTATGCTGTACCTTTGGAAAATCAGGCAACGGGAGTAAACACAAGATATATCGGGGCCACCACTAGAATGCTTTCCAGTTGCCTTGATGAGCACCGAGACGATGTTATGAGGGGAAGACACACCACTGAGCTCACAAGAAAGGTACTTGAGCAGGGTTACAACCCGCTATGGTCCCAAGCGGTTATGCTTAAGAGCTGCAAGGATCGAAAAACTGTTTTTATATGGGAATCTCTCCTCACTACCACCTTGGACACTTGCAACACCCCTACGCTCAAGCTGCCTAGTGTATGGGTCATGCTGTATAAGCGTTTAAGCGAGTATTAGCAGTCTCTAGTATGCATGTAGCGTGAGCATGGCTCTGCGCATGCGCCAGCTCGCACTTCACGAAGCTATCTGCTCGTTCGGTTTTTGAATTATGTTTAAACATTTACTTCATGTTCTTAACGGCTTTAACATAATTTCAAATTATCTTATGCATTCTATTCTGCATTCAATTATTTTTGTTTAAAATTTTTTGGTAAATTTCTGTATTCGCCTGAGGACGACGACTATAAGTTTGTTGAAAGTGCTTGCGATAAAGAAACGCACGTAACGATGAACTCAGTGTCTTTGTTTTTGTTATTATATTTAGTTCATTGTAATAAATAAGAGTTTTTATAGTTCGATAGATCTTCCATTTTGAATCAAAATTTCCGCCTTTTTCTTAAAAAGGCAGAAATTTTTTTAAGAGTTTTTATCAAAAATTTGTTTCTATTTTGCAAAAAACCTTAACAAAAGTTATTTTTAGAATCTGAGATCTTTAAAACATATAATTCAGCAAAAATATTCCATGCAGCTGGAGAAAAAATTTTTTTGCAGACCTATGTAATGTACAGTAGAGCGTCGATTATCTGAATCAATTGGGGACTGGGGTTGTTCGGAAAATCGATATTTCGGATAACCGATTATGTACGAAAAAATATATTAACCTATCCCATGTTGAAATTTTTCTCCGTTGCATGTCGCTTCGCGTTGAATTTTCGTCAACGTTAAGCCTAACGAAGACTATTGTATCGTTAAAAATTATTTTTTTATTTTGTACAAACAAAATAAATATATTGAAAAATATAAAAACAATAAAAAATTATACTTCAGAAGTTAATTTAGTATCAAAAAGGTAAAATATTTGAGTAGCCCAAGACACAGCCAAAGATTGCAGCGCCACAGCAATGGAGAATTTAAATTTTAATTTAAATTCTCCAGTGCTTAAAAATTTAAATTTGCCGACTGGAATTCTTTTGGATAATTGACGTTTCAGATAATTGACTTTCGAATAATTGACGCTCTACTGTATAATCATTGAAAATACTTATATTTGTTTTTTGGTAATTTTCCTCTTTTAACACTACAAAACATTATCTTACTTTTATTTGACTATGTTTTTAATGTAGCACAAAAGAAAATCTAGAGGAGTCAAATTGAGGTTTCTTGCAGTTCAGGAAACAGGATTGTATCTCTCAATTCAACATCAAAAAAATTATCATTGAGTGCATTTCAAACATTGCAACAGTAATAGGATAAAACACTTTCTTGCTGAAGCTATCTTTTTCCCTTTGTTTTTCCTCAGACTTATAACATTGAAAGTTCCAGTTTACCTAAGTAAGTATTGTCTGTAATTGTTACTTCAGCAAACACAAATGGATCCACCACATACTTAAGCATTAATCTGTACCACATGTTTTATCATGGGAGAGTCATAGTTTTCAATACAAGTCATAAACATATTGAAAAATTTCATTTAGTTGTTTAGATCTGCAAATTCTAAATTGTGATGATTAATACATTTGTTTATGTTTAGTAATGAGGCAACTTTTTACATAATGTGCTGACAGAAATTTATGTCACTATCAATTTTATTCAGCATGAATTTGGCAAATTCAACACATTTCAGAAAACTACCAATTTCATGCTTGAGTTGAATTTTGTAGATGTATAATTTCATGTAATTATGAAACATATTTTGAATAATCTTTTTAGGAATAACAAGCTCCAAACTGCAATGATCAATAGATTTATTTGGCTCATGCATACACAATTGTCTTAGATGCTAGAGATCAATCTGGTGATTTCTTATGTGCACATTTTCAGTTTTTTTTTTTTTTTTAAATTGATTAAACCATCAAATTACAGCCTTGTCCGTAGGCACATCTTGAAGGTAAGTACTGTACATCAATATTGATAACTAATTTAAATTCAACCACAACACATACTGCTTTCTATTGTACAATCATCATTGTTGTATTGATTGAGACAGAACAATGGAATTGCTACTGCTCACACTTACATGTGTACACAGTAACACAACTCAGCAACTAAAAAGAAAACCCTTAATGTTTCTATGCAATTCAATCAAAAAGACTGGTTGATTATTATCTAAATATTTGACATTGAAATCACAGAATCCCGAATAAATAACAAATGGTAATATATGTATATTTTGAATATATAGGCATCCCCACTTAATATCAGTAATCTGTTCATGAAAATCAGATGTTCTGCATGAAAACATTAACCAGAGGCCAATTCTCAATTACTTCAAATGAAGAAATTAAACTGTATTACAATGTCAACCCAAAACTCTCAACTAATTTCTTAAGATGTAACTAAAACACCTAAATACAAACAATAAACTATTGCATCAAGATGTAAAATGCTTAAAACATTGCTTCCTAATCATCAAATTAATCAATATTAATTTTAAAAAAACAGTTCCTTTAGACTTTATATGATACACAAATAACACACAGCAATAAAGAAATTTATTAGAAAAAATACTGACAAAAATTTATGGTAACAAGAAATCAATATAAAAACGTGCAAGGACTCTTGCACAACTTTCCTGGCACTCATAATTTACAAAGTTATGTATGACACCATTTGTTATGAGATTTTATTAAAAAATAACTTTTACTTTATTATTAATTATTATAAAAAGACTAACAAAAGACAAAAAACTTAATTTTGAAGACAAAGATGAGTTTTAAAACAAATTGTAAATGTTAATAACAAGTAAAACTTTCATTAAGTCCACTTGAGATATAACATATGATCTCCTTAACCTTTAACCATCAAAATTTAATAACATCAGTGTCTAATACATAGTAATAACCCTACCAAGTTTCAAAATTTTTGGTTCATCTAGTCCTGAGATAACATACACTAAAAACATACAGAATTTTCAAAATTAATTATTTAAAACAATGGAGTCAGATTATTTTATCAAATTCTTACATAATTGTATTGTAGAGAAATACATGATAAATCAATTTTTCTTTCTGTTCTGACTGATGGAGGGCAGATAACTTTAAAACTCTAAAACATTATGTAAATAATGAAATAAAAGTTTAAAAATAAAAAAGTTAAAAGCAAACCCAAGTGCAGAGAAAACACTTTATTACATCGATAAGTTCCCTAAATGCATTTTGCCAGACAGGTCTCTTCAGTAGGGCTATCAGTAGATACAGTTTAAGACTCCAATCAGTAGATATAGAATTTTGTAAAGTCTTACATTTTTTGGCTCCTAGGGCCAAAACATCAAGAAACGCAAAAAATTGGGGCGATCAAAATTTGACCAATTACCATACTTTCCCTATTAGAGCTGAGAAAGTAAAAAGCAAGAAATAAATTGCAACACATTTTTAAAAATTTCTGTAAATTATATAATTGATTAACTACTGTTAATGACAACACAAAAGCATTATCATGCTTTCTCTTATAAGAAGTGTTGATATGATATGATATACCACTGTAATGCCTCAGATTTCCATTTTATCTTTCTTTGGTATTGTATGTTCTGATGGTCTCAAGTGTAGTACTCTGTTTTATCTTTGACAAAATAAAGGTTTCTGTTCTAAAAGTTTCTAATAAAGGTAAAGATTCTAAGTGAAGCAGTACTGTATGTGTATATCCTTATATAGAAGCTAACACTTTTCTTGACACCTGATCAAAATTTTTACATATAATTCTGGCATTCTAATTAAGTTAAATATATAAATATAATTTAATTAGATTAAAATTTATTTCTAAATATACATACAATTCTTTTAAATAAATGTTCACTTACATTTGACCATTAGCAGCAGAATATAGTGCTGCATCTCCACTTCCATCAACATACTGTACATATGCAGGATGAACAGGCTGTGCTGATTGAAGTGTGACAGTACCCTGATTCTGATTTTCTTCTGAAACTATAATTATAATAACTTAAAACAATTACATAATCACTACAAAAAATGTGGATGAAGATGAAATAGTAATAAAAAATAGATAAATAATATCTTTATTGAAATGAAAATTTTAATAAAAATAAATCTTTCTGATGAATTATCTAGTTATGTTTATGATTTTTTACATTTATAAAAAAAAAAACTTGAATATAAAACACAAATAAAACGAGGCAGATGACATAAATAAAATCTTAAATTATAAAAATTGTATATTATTGTACATTATTATTTTTTTAATTTTGTATTCAATATGTTTTATAAATTAAAACATTAAAATGATTGAATATATTTGTTAATCATATGATATCTATCTGTGAAGAAAACATTCTCTCTATGTCTTTAACATCAAAAGTATTTTAAAAAGCTGGCAAGAATTGCTGCTCAACTTTCCTATCACTTAAACAGGAAGATAAGAGGACCAGGAAGAAAGTCTGATAATAATCAATTATATAAAATTATATAAAATTTAAATAACTACAAAAACATAAAATGAGTCATTTTGTTGAATTATGATAAATTTATCTGAAAAAATATTTAAACTTAAAACACATTAGCTCAAAGTTAAAATTGTGTATGGTAAAAATATAAACATCATAATAAAACCAGATACATTACAATAAAGCTACAAGAACTGCTGTATGACATTGGGCTAAATTATTTAATTAAATTATAATTATTAAATTTAATATGATTTGGCTCCTAACGCCTCCTCTTTGGTCAAATTTATCAGTAATTTATAATAATTATAGCCAATTTTTAGCCAAATGTCATACAGCAGTTGTTGTAACTTTATTATGCATGGTACCATCTATTAAAAATTTTATTAAAATTAATTTTTATATGATTAATTAATATAAAAAGGCAAAAGGCTTAATTTTGAGAGTAAAGATAAGTTTAAACAAAAAATTGTAAATGCTAATAATAATTAAAATTTTCATAAGTCTGACCCTACATCAGATGTGATACATGACCCTCCTCTATCTTCCCACCTTCTTGACCTTTAATCACTAAAATTTAATAGCATCAATGTCTACATATATAAATAGTCCTGCCAAGTTTCAAAATATTTGATTCATCCAGTTTACAGAAAATGAAAAATAAGATGTCTCTCCTCACATATATTTTTATAAGGAGTTTATATATATTGGGCCAAAATGTCAAGAAATGCAAAAAATCTGGAGTTCAAAATCTGATCATTCACTATGCTTTCCCTATGTTATATTCTTAACAGCCAAGAAAGTAAGATAATTTTTAATATGCATTTAGAAGAAAGAATTATATCATCATCTCTACCAATAGAATTCTAAATTTTATGATATAGAATTCTTATAGAAAAAAAAACACTATTATATANAAAAATTCAATTCTGTTATGAGTTATATAACTTCATCACAATTAGAAAATTATATATATATATATATATATAATAATTATTTTGAAATAGCAACTGATCATGAAAAGCAAAACAAAGCAGTTAAATCATCCTAATCACTTAGTCATAGCCATAACATATTAATTTACAACACATCATATGTTACAGATAATCTGTTAGCTGCTAATTTGAAAGAATAAACCTATTGATTTTAAATAATTAATTATACATTAATTTTTCAAAAAGATTACTTTAAGAAACAAACCTGCAACTGTAATAAACTGAGGTGTTCCTGGTGTTGAAACTACAGTACCACTTTGTTGCTGACTCTGTGACTGCTGCTGTTGAGAAGGAGAATGAACAACAGGTACTGAAACTTGAGTTACTGCAACTGTAGCAGGAGTTGAAGATCCTTGAGAAGCTTGTAATTGTTGCTGGCTCTGGGTTACTGAAACTACTGTCTGAACAGAAGCAGACTGGCTAGTTGATACTTGAGACTGAGTTCGAGAAATCTAGATTTAAAAAAATATTTTAATATTTAATACAATATAATTTTTCAAATATCAAACAAATAGCCAGATCCTTTTTCAGGCTATTAAGACTATATAATTACTAAGTAATTCAGCAGGAGGTAGACAGTTAAGGCTGCCAACTCTTGATAGATTTAATAATTATAAATAAGTTAATAAAATCTAATTTTAGACTATTTTGGAATGAATAAAAGATTAATCATATAATTTTACTCATTTTTTAAACAATTAGATAAAATATAAGGGTTATAACATGATTAACTTTTTTATTCATTATTTTATAATTTCTATCAAATTATAGATATTCTAAAATAAACATTTTTTATGGACAGACAGGAGTTTTGGCCAAATATCAAATAATTATTTGGATGTCACTGTTGCTGAATATGAAATACAGAATATTCTTGCCATTGTAACTACTGACTAACTAAAAACAACTTAAACACCAAAAATATTTAATATTACAAACATTTTTGTCTAAATGAACAAATTTGTATTTGTCCTACTGAATACCAAATATTAGCTAATATATTCAGAACTGCTTCAAGCAAAAACCTTAGAACAGTGTCTCCTATCTAATAAAGATTGTTTTATTTTTTATTTCTACATTTTTATTTTTTAAGAATTATTACATAATTTTTATATATTACATATAATATATCTATATTAGATTATAAAGCTCCATAAGATAGTATATTTAGTGAATGTACAGTATGTTCAGCAAAGTTGAAAATATCTACAACAACTAACAAAATTGCTTACTTCCTATGAATGCAGAAGCATTAATGTTTCTTCAAGATAATTTATTAAAGTTATATTTGTTTCAGCAAAGGAATAAATAGCAATATTTTTAAATATCTGAGACTCTAAATGTTGTATTCATTTAATTTTGTGTTTTACCTTTCTTTTCTTTCTCTCCCCAAACTAAAATTACCTTATTTGGCTGAATAATTCAACTTTGAGAAAACATTCAGTCCAAATATTGAATATATGTGTTTAGTATTCAGCCAATAGCTAATATTGTTAACAAAAAATGATTATATAAATTACAACAAAAATGCTTAAAGTGATGTGACATGCTATGAGATATTTGAGTTTTACTGCTGAAAATGATCAAAAGTAGATTCCCTAGTTTATATAAAAGCTTAGCTACTTCATTTATCAAGTTTAAGCATTTTTGCTTTTGGGCTGTCTCGAATTAGCAGTTGATCTTTAACATTTTGCTAAGTATGCAAGTAAATTCTTTTTTCTATACCTTTTGGTTCATGTTCAAGAATTTAGCTAATTTTTTTTAATTATTATATGTCTTCATTGATTATCCAAATAACTTCATTAACTTAATATTGAAGAAGTAATATTTTTCTCTTAATATTTTATCTTTATTGTCAATTTTCTGATCTTAGCTATTTATTTTCATTGGTATTTTGACTGGACATAATTGCAGTTGCAACTATTGATTTTATATTGTATTAAATACAATACTCAGATATCTAAATAAATAATTTTATTTAATTTTTAGGTTGTGACTTTCACATTTGCATTAATTTCACTAATAACTTTTCTCCTCTTTGTTTATTATTACTGTTATTATAATGAAATCGGAATATGTTGTACAATAAGTTATTTAAGTCAGTACTACTCACTGTAGTCTGTAGATAGTTTATTAATGAGTTGCAATGAGAGATTTCACTTTAAAATTTTATAATTTTATATATTTCATTAAAACTATTTCAAAATGTTTGTAAAAGTTTTTAAAATCCTATTATTTTATAACTTTTGTTTTTCTTTATTATTTAAGCACTTTAGTACCAGGTATGGACTAGCAATTGAGTCCAGGAACTTACATGAAAAAAGCCCACAAACCTATGCTTTTCAAAATAATTAGGATCAAAGTTTGTTATTGTATTATTCCTGCTAATTTAGTCTAAAAGTTAAAATAATAATAAAAATGCATGTGAACTTCATTCTCTCTGTTTATAATTATTTTTATTTAATTTCACAAAGATACCAATCATTTTATGTTAAATTTAATATAATAGAAACTTGATTATCTGAAACACTTCACAAAAAATAAATAAAAACAGAATGTGTAGTATTGACGTACCATAGAATATAGTAATATACAGATACCTAATTCTCCATTTAAGTAGAAATCTCTGTGTCACCTGTCAATTGTAACACCATGAAACTAGGCCATATGAATTTAATTTACTTAAAACTGAATGTAATGTTACATACATTACATTCAGTAAATTAAATTCAGTATTTTACATACTACATATTCATAACATTTGTAACATTAAATATTCAAATACAATTTTTTTTTTTGATATTTATAGTTCATGAAACTTTAAATGCACGGTGCTAGATTCTGTATCTGAAAAACAAAAACAAACAAGTTTCTGACTTGTGCTCTTATTAAGTTTGAATAATCAAGTTTCTACTCTAATAATAAATTCAATTTGAATTACATTAATTAATTAGAAGATTCTAGAAGAACAGATCAACTAATAATGGGATTCAAATCTGCAAGTTCTGATTACTGTGCAGATGCAACATCAATTTCGCTACTTGGATCTCTATCCAACCTATCTTCCAGACTACTTTGTTAGATCATATTAATATAAGTGTAAACATCAATCATTATACAGACTAGAGATAACTTATGTTTACAATTCTAATAGTGATTTATAATGCGAGTCTAGCCTGATAAAAATTAAGAGCCTACAGCATTATTAAAACAAAGATACTTGATGCATTTGGCATGTCAGTAGTGTTTTACATTTTTTAAAATTATGCAAATATTTGAAACATTTTAGTATGAAGTTTTGATACTGATTATATATTTATGGTGCCATTTCTTGCAAATAAGGAAAAAATTCAAACTCATACTGTATAGTCAAAATTTTAAAAGAAATATTAAAATTACTTGACCAAAGAATTGGTAACATTTCAGATATTTTCTTCATAAGTGAATGATGTTTCAGAGATAAAAATAAATGATAAATTTTGGTTTTAAAATAGTTGTAATAAAAACTAAGAGTATTTTAAGAGTTGAAGCTAGGTCTAAAATGATAAAAATCTAAATAATTTCTCTAATGTCTTTATAATGCTTTTGTAAAAATTAAATATATTTAGGAATAACAGCAACGGTAGAACATAAGAAGATATTTAAACAAACACACGCGCGTTTATAATTCGCATGCGTTATAGCACTACGTACTCCGTATTCCACAAATTCAGTGATGTACCTCCTCTAATCCCGGCTACAGCATACCAACCGCAACATTATGTCAATGCGGCAATTTCACCTTTAATAAGAAGGGCCTTCCTCTTATCATCCAACCAGGCGGCTATCGATACCGAACTTAATATTATCTGCCATGCGGTAAATGAGGTGGGCTACAGCAAAGCCAAATTTAATTACATCTTAAATAAAGTAAAAAGATCACTCTTTCCCGCCACCATGCTACATCTTCCGAAGGCGTCCACAATAGTCCTGCCCGCGATACCATTTTCTGGTCATGTCTTCCTCCATATTTGTCGTATTTTTAGGCGACATGATTTGTTTCTGCCAATTTCTCCGCGGCCGAATCTTAGGAGGTTGCTGTCCAACGACAGGGATCCTATATCCACCATTGAAAAATCGGGGGTTTATTCAGTCCCATTAGAGAATGTTTTAGGTGGTCACACCCATTATATTAGTGTGACAACCAGAATGTTATCTAACCGTATTTTAGAACATCAATATTCCATCAGGGAAGGCAGGAATGACACTGAACTCGCCAGAATGGTGCTTATGCAGCACCATTCTGGCGAGCATACCCCTCTGTGGAACGAAGTGGTCATACTAAAACATTGCAACAACAAAAATCTTGTATATATCTGGGAAGCCCTCATCACCAACATATTAAAGCCCTGCAACACCCCCACACTTGATTTGCCCCCTTTGTGGATCAATTTGTACAGCTATATAAAACATCGCAACTAAATCCCCAATATAGAGGCGTCTAACGCATGCGCAGTATAAACGCGCATGTTTTTGTTTAAATATCTTCTTATGTTCTACCGTTGCTGTTATTCCAAAATGTTAATTATGATTGGAATGTTTTAAATATATTTAATTTATTTTAGAACTTTTTATGTTAAAATTTTAGACTTCTTGAAAAGGTTGGATTATTTCAATTTATTTAAACATAAATGTAATTTCTTAAGCTTGACAGACTGGAAAGAACTTATTATACATCCACTATCTACTGAACGGGTATCATATATTAAGGATCATTTTTAATTTGCAAAGATTATTGTTTCATTCTATGATACTTAGTCTGAGGAATTCAGTTTTTATTTGTTTATTTTTAATTTATTATTAGTAAGTTAAAATAAATTATTAGTAAGTTTTGTTTTAAATAACAAAATTTATTTAAAACAAATAAAAATATTTGTTTTAAATAAATTTTGTTGTCTAAATGTTATCTCTTTTTATGTAATTATTATCTAGTTACAATTTGTAAATCAATATGATTTATTTGCATTAAAATCTTTGTCTATTAATGTTTATAGATGGTGATCATATTAAATAATAATTTTTGCATTATTGACAACTATTATATTTTTTGTAAAGATTAATGCTGAAGCAGGTTTGTCCTTACAGAGACTTTTTCAAAAAGATTGTGTCTTATAAAAAAACATTATTTTTCATGATATAGTTTATTCATTTTTATAATATAGATATACTAGCTGTTAGCTGCAACTTTGCCTGCATGGATTTTGCAAACTTCATTTATATTCAGTATTTCAACAACCATAGTAATTGTTATATAACACCTACCGCTAAGAATGATGAGAATTGCTGAGAATCAAATAAACTATTTTCAATTTAATCAATTTTCTGGAACATTTACAATCATTCTATAATCAAACCAATATGCAATAACAAATTCAAATTTAAAACGGTTCGAACATTTGGTTAAAAAATCGAA